TGAACGGAGAAGTGGTGCCTCGATGCGCACCCGGGATCCGAACCCGGGCCACCAGCATCGCAGCGCGCGCACTTAACCACCAAGCCACAGGGCCGGCCCTCAATTTTTTTAAAAAAAAGCTCTTATACGATTTAAATGGCCTCTACAAGGATTATATTTTTATTGAGAAATTCTACACTCAGTATGTCTGCGTCTTGATACAGATATGGAGCATTCTCTTCAGTTTAGGGCCTTGAAGATTCACACGAACACTGTACCGGCTTTTCTTTATTTGAGAACCATTCCCTTGAGGGAAATTATATTTTCTTTTAACCAGGCAATACTTTTGTTTTTCACGCATTTGAAATAATTCATTTGTAGTATTCTTTAAAGGAAAACGTCATTAAAAAATTCTGAATCTTATGATAGATTGAGATTTCTTAAATTGTTTTAATCACAGTGTTGAGATTCTGCTCTTTCATATATTTGGAGATGGAAACTTTTTACCATCATACCCTCTTCCCTGCCATCTCTTAGGACTTCCCATTTTTCGTCATCGTTAGCCTTGTGGAAAGGAAAGATAGTGTATGTCTGTCAAAATACCGACAAATCAAGATTATTTTTCCCTTTTGACTGTGGGAAGAATTCTGAAGCAGTAAGCGACAAATTTAGTCACCTTTATTGATATTTGGGCATTTGACATTTTAATTGACAGTACCTAGGAGATTTTAGGAATTAATATTTTGTAATTGTCATATCCGTTAAATTCTCTTATGAGAATACCTAGCCTGTTTTTCCTGGAAAACTACTACCTGACTAAATAATTACCTTTTTTTCTACGTTAGCTGAGTTTTGAAAACCCAGTGATTTAGATTGCTGTGGTTTTCTAATTTGAACAAAGGCAAACTAACATTTTAAAGCACTTTTTATATTACAGATTTTGAAATAAATAATTTCCTTAAAATATGTGAACTTTATGGTGAGATCAAGAATGCTATTGTTCCTAGGTATTTGAGAGCATACCACTTATATTTTTATTTTATGCATGCATTGTTTTTCTTGCGCACTGTTTCTCTCTTCTGCAGGTATTACCACTGTACAGCTAAATCTTAAAAAGAATTTTTAGATGAACTGAAAAACATTGCTTAAGATTTTTCAGTAAGGACTTATTTTTGTGAAAATATATTTTATTTCTTGAAGCCTAGTGGATTTCTTTCTTTCTTTTACCTTATGAAGCACCAAAGATTACTTT